CCCTTTACACAGGCCTAGTTTGGAATTTCATTCAGATACAAGCCAGAGTGTTTGAATTTTCATTTGTAATATAGGTTCTTACAGATTTATCTCTTAAGAAAGCTGGCTTTTTTCCCTTCATGGATATGATGTCCTTTTATTTGCTGTGTAATAGAGGTTTCCAAGAAGAAAATATGCCTAGGAAAACTCTAGGTCTGTTTTCAGATTTTCATATGCCTCTCCATCTTCCCTCTCTTTTTTCAGGTGATTTGGTAAATCCTAAAATCAGAAGGTGGTGCAAAGCCAGTCTTTTGTCTCTTAGCAGTCCATGAAGAAGGTTAAGCATAAAGAAAGATACTTATATAATGTAAAATTTTAAAATAAATGGAATTTTTTCATCACCTGGGAGCTTACTACATAAAAAGCAAATGTATCACTTCACTCATTTAGATTCTTCAGCTCCCATCCTTGTCTTGTCCAGCCTTGAAATTCCTCAAAAGTCAATATATTGCATGCATTTGTTCCTATTTTCAGATAGAATCTAGTTTCTCAATGATTCACCTCCTTGTGTATTTAAGTGACTTGTATTTTGCAATATGTTAAATAGCATCCTGAATTGATAAGCTGGAAATTCAGGACAAATATTTCCATGACTGGAATAAGTGAGTCAAGAGGAGATATTCTGTACATCTCAGTCTTGCCTGAATAGATGGTCTTATGCTTGTTTTTTCAGATCCTTTGTTCCTTTTGGATATGCTTCTGTATTCATTGCAGTAGCAACTCAGGAGGAAATTATTTCTGCTTTAGGAAAAGTTGTTTTTGCTTTTGGTGGGGTTTTTTGCCCATAAAGCAGTCTGTCTTGCATGTCCAGATTTTTTCTTGTACTGTGATGTTTGGTTGTGTCTTTTGCTCTTTTCCATCCCTAAACATAGGCATTGGAAGCTCCCCCAGAAAGCAGTTAGCTTAATTAATTCAGGGTGTTTTTGAAAAGACATTTGCAGAAGCCTGATTTTAAGATACTGGTAACATCTTGAGGATAAAAGCCACAAGACATTACAAGAAAGTAGCACATACATGCATAATATTAATTTTAAATGGCAGGTAATGTTAATGTGCATATGTTAGTGCACAGGTCATCAGTGACAGTGTATAACTGAAACTGCTTTGGAGTGAATGGCCTAATTTGAAGCTACAGACATGTTTTGTTTGAGGTTCCATGGTGTGAAAGAGAACCTGTTCTAGAGCTCATGCTTATAGAACTCTAACAGGAAAGAGTTTCATATTGCAATTGAAACATCCTCCCTTTAAAAAAAAAAAGTAAAAATTAATATTAAATTAATTTGAACTACACTTTTGAAAGTGTATTGGGGGGAGTTATCATTTGCTATGCTAAACATAATTTTTAAAATCTGTTTTTATTTACTCTTTAATTATTTGCTTTTATGAAACATAATGTGTATGAATAGTGTGTTGTGAAAACTTTCTGGATTTTTAATTTTTTAACCATTAGCAGCACCTAAGAGTGAAATGGTACATTTTTATTTTCTAATCCTCTTTAGGAAATTTTAAAAATTAGTAGTATACTTGTACAGGTAAGCTTTCCCACTGATTCTGTTAACCAGGCACCAACAACTCAAAATTTTTTAATTTCTTTTTTTTTTAAAGGAAGTTTACTTGAATTTAAAAGGTGGAATGAAGCACTTGAGCTTAAGGAATTTATTTTAGAAAGCTAATCTTTATGCAATGTGGTGTACTCCAAGTCTTAAATAAAAATAGCCAGTAAACATCAAGTGTGATTAAACTGATTTTAAATCTATTTAAACTGGACCAAGATGGAGGCAGGGATTATAGGAACATGGTCTGAATCTTGACCTTGTAAGAATATTTGATGCAGCATTCAAGAGAGTTTGTATTTTTTTGCCTGTAACAGCACATACCAAAAAAACTTAAAGGTGTTCTTGCTGTTAAAATAGACTTAATAAGCTCAATTTATATGGGACGTGTACTAAAGGTTTTGGACTTGCTTGTGTTCACTTCAGCAAATGCTGGCAATTAAACTAGATCAGTACTAGTACTATCAGTACTACTCACCAGATAAGATGCACTGGAAGCTTGTGACTTGTGGTATAAGTGCAGTATAATGTCTGTGTGTGTTCCATCTGACAGCCTTGTGTATCTGAGAGTAAGCAACAACAGGATTCTGCAGGTGCAGTTAAGTACTGAATGTTTAATATCACTCTAGCATGTGTCTCCACAGTATGTGCCTCCAAATTGAGGTGTAAATAATGAAACTAAACTGGGCAGACTGCTTGACCTAAAGTTAACAGAATAAACAATAAAAACAAGGCTGAAGAATTAAGAAAATACAAGTATTGCCACGTATTTAATATGGCTTGCCTATGCTATCTATAGTGTGCTACTTCTGGGATGACAGCCTACTTTCAAATGTTTTAATCTGGTAAAACTGTGGGATTAATTACCACAAGCAACAAAGGAATCTGGCATGTGGCAATACTGGTGTAGTAAGTGGTGCTTATACCAGCCTGAAGCTTTCCTAGTGCTTCATTAAAGAAGCAAATAATAAACAATAACATTTTATCTTAAAAGGGGGAGGGAGGAGCTATTAAAATGTTTAATAATTAAATTATTCAAAGCAGAAGTTCAGCTTGAATAAAGGATCTTCACCACACACAAAATGACTGGTTGGGCCTGGCCACATTCTTTTCCCCTGTCAAATCCCCTACCTCTGACTTGCATTCAAAAGGTTGTCTTGCTCATAGGACTTCTAAGTTGCTTTCTGAATAGGTTTTCCTGTAAAATGGTCATAAAGATTGGATAAATAAGGCTTTAAAGCTTCTTGTAGTTTCTTCAGAATTGAAGTTCTCTTGAAAGCTAGAGATCTTCAGTAACCCGCTATGAGAGAGGGCTTTTTTGTACAGAAGAACCTCTTCTTTCAACACAGAGGAAAATTTGTTAGTGAGAAATATCCTATACAGTGCTCTGTCTGCTATATTGCATCCCAAAACTCAGGCTAAGTCAAGGATAATCGGTTTCTGACCAATTGAGAGGCAAAAGGAAGACTACAGGAAATGCAGTGAAGTGGGTGCCCTAGTGACAGACAGAGAGTATAGAGAAGACAGAGTAACTGAATGCCTTCTTTGCCTTGGCCATTACTGCAAAGTCCTAGACCTTCAGGACCACAGAGGAAGACAGGAGAAAGGAAGACTTTGCCTTGGTTTAAGAGGATTGGTTTAGAGATCAACTAAGTAAACTGGACATCCACAGATCCATGGGTCCTGATGGGATGCTGGCCGAAGTCATTGCTAGGCTGCTCTCCATCGTTGCAAAGTCCTGGAGAACAGGAGAGATGCCTAAGGACTGGAGGAAAGCCAGTGTTACTCCAGTCTTCAAAATAGGAAGAAAGAGGACCCAGGTAACTACAAACTGGTCAGCATCATCTCCGTCCCTGCATGGTGATGGAACAGCTTGGTCCCGGCGCCATCTCACAGCATGTTGAGGAAAAGTGTCATCAGGAGTAGCCAGCATGGATTCACCAAGGGAAAGTCATGCTTGACCAATCTGATAGCCTTCTACAATGGCATAACTAGATGGATAGATGAGGAGAGAGCAGTGGAATTGGTCTACCTTGATTTCAGCAAGGCTTTCAACACCATCTGTCATGGCATCCTCACAGCCAAACTCAAGAAGTGTGAATTGAATGACAGGACAGTGAAGTGGATTGGGAACTGATTGAAGGACAGAGCTCAGAGAGTTGTGGCAAGCGGGGCAGAGTCTAGCTGGAAAGCTGTGTCTAGTGGAATACCCCAGAGGTTGCTACTGGGTCCAGCCCAATTCAATATCTTCATTAATGACATGGACAAAGGGATAGAGTGTACCATTAGCAAGTTTGATGATACCAAACTGAGAGGGGTGGCTGACACACCAGAAGGCTGTGCTGCCATTCAGCAAGACATGGACAGGTTGGAGAGGGAAAAACTTGATGAAATTCAACAAGGTCCAGTGTAGAGTGCTGCATCTGGAAAGGAACAACCCCATGTATTGGTACAAGTTGGGGGCTGACCTGCTGGAGAGCAGGTCTGGTGAAAAGGACCTCAGGGACCTGGTGGACAACAGGCTGACCATGAGCCTACAATGTGCTCTTGCAGCCAAGAAGGCCAGTGGCATCCTGGGGGGCATTAAGAACTGCTGGAAAGAGTCCAGTGCAAGGCCACAAAGATGATTAGAGGAATGGATCATCTGCCCTTTGAGGAAAGGCTGAGAGAGCTGGGTCTGTTTAGCTTGGAGGAGACTGAAAGGGGATCTCATAACCTCTTATAAATATCTAAAGAGTGTCAGGAGGATGGAACCAGTCTCTTTTCCACAGTGTGCAATGACAGGATGAGGGGCAGTGGACACAAGCTGGAGCATAGGAGGTTCTAGTTAAGCATAAGGAAAAACTTCCTGTAAGAGTAACAGAGCACTGGAACAGGCTGACCGTAAAGCTTGTGGAGTCGTCTTCTCTGGAGATAATCAGCACCTGCCTGGAGGTGTTCCTGTGTGATCTACTTTAGGTGATCCTGCTCTAGCAGGGGGGCTGGACTAGATCTTCAGAGGTCCTTTCCAACCCCGCTGACGCTGTGACTGAGATCAGGCCTATATAAAGCTGAATTCTTTCCATTCTCTAGGGTTTTTAAGATATCGCTTAAACTTACTTAAATCTGCCTTCTTGTTTGACTTTTCTCGGCTGTTCTCATGAGGCGTGTTTTAGGGATGCCAGAACAAAGGCTACTGGAGGTTGTGCCAGGTTTATTGCTAAGCACAGGAATTTTTTCCATGTGACAGTGTTTTGTTGGCAATGTAGGGATTGTGCTGCGTGGGAACAGTTCATTTTGTGGCTTTTGCTAGAATTTTAAATTACCTTTACTGTTCTCCATACTGTCATCTGGTAGCATCCAAGGGAGTTGTTAGCATTTCTATACATAAATTTTCCTAGGATAGAGGGTCCCCAGACCTTTAGATATTGTTAGAATACATAAAAAGCTTAATTATTTTCGCTTTGGAACGTGCGGTTGCGTCATATTCTGCTATTACATGTTACCTCATCCTTAAAAGGTCTTGGAAAAAAACACCTTTCCTATCCCACTGAAAGCTGCTGCTCTGATAAGTATATTCTGCTCTTAATGTCTCTGGATTAATTTGTGCTTTTAGGACTTGGGTGCCTTTGGTCAGATTAGGCCAGAGGATAATGACTAAGCAAAGTATCTTCTTCAGCCTCACCTTTGGCCCTGCTCCTGGCTTTCTCTGTAAAAGGATTTCCTAGAATTTTTAAGAGCTGGTGACAAGGCATGTTTGATAATTGTATGAAAAGGCAAACCTTTTTAGGCAACTGAAGCTGCTTGAGCAAAACCTATCCTTGTGATAATGTGGAATATTTTGGAACCAGGTGAAGAAACCTGATTTCTAGGGACCTTTTGAAATTTTGATTCGTGCACTTTGAGGCAGGGGCTCCAGGATGTGCTGCAAAACCTGTTGTGGAATTTTTGGTCATGCTGTTAGTAAAAATAATAAATAAACCATCTGCTTTTAAGGAAAAGGGAAGCTAGTCACATTAATGAGAAGTTAGTCCGTTTTAAAATACTCAGCATATTCACATAAACTTCATTGTGACTGATTTCACTATCATGTTCCCTTCCTTTCAATCTACATTTTTCTGGTAGCTGAGCTTGTTGCCAGTCTCTGATACTGTCAAATCTGTGTGGATACCAGCTTAGATTTTATAATCACTGAGGCAAGATATGCTGGAGTAGTCCTGTGGTATCATTGCATGATTTCCTAATATGCACCAGGTTAAGTTCAGTCAGCCAGTGTAACAATTACGTGGATATACTTTGCTTTCAGTAAAATGAATAGTTGCAACTAGGGGCTTGTGCTTGAGTATGGGAGGGAAGATAAATGAATCACTGGGTAGATTAAGAGCTTTACTACTTGATTCTTCAGGTACAGAGCGTTTTGAAACCCAGTCACCATAAGGATGGCCAGGAGCTTAATGCTTTGCTAAATGCCCCTCATATGCAGGTAAAACAAAATGGAACTTTATTGAACTCTACTCTTTTGTATGCATGTAAAGTGTGAAATTTTCTGTAACTGAGCTGATTTTGTTTAACACTAGGCACTTTTACTGGCTCATGATAAGGTTGCAGAACAAGAAATGCAACCAGAGCCTATGACAGATGAAAAAATTTATGAGAATGTTGGCGTGTACGGAGGGGAGACGGTTAAAATAGTTCGCATTGAGAAAGCTCGGGATATTCCTTTGGTAAGTACAAGTTCTCACTCAGTTTTATGTAAAGGAGGTAAGCTTTTTTGACCTGTGAAGATTGCTATGAAAGTTTCAGAATTTGAATGTTGAGGTGATGTGTAACTTGTAAACACTCCTTCCCTCCAAAGTGAGAAGTAGTGATAAGACAGTAAACTTGTGCGAATCTTCACATAGCAGTAGCCAGACTATCATTTAGAATCTGTACAATGTCTGTGAACTTGGGTTTGGACAGGACTTCTTGACAGAAGTCACTGTCTCAAGCTTTGCTGCAGGGGAGCTTGTAGCTTTATGCCAACCATGTATTATTTTTTTAAGCAACTCTCATTTTCTATTTCACATCTTTCAGGTCAGCATTTCCTTAGAAATATTTTTTTAAAAACACAACAAAAGACAATCTTATGGTGTGAAGCAGTTAAATTCTTCAGTCTTCAGTGCAGCTTAAAGAAATTAAAACAGTGCTTTTTCAAATTGCAGCACTGAGTGTATGCATCTGAGTTGTTACTTGCATTCTCTTTCAACATAGTTTCTCCACTGGCTTGGAGTATATACAATAGAAGGCTTTGAGTTTTGTATATATAATAAATTCAGAATGTGTTTTCACTACACAGGGTGCTACTGTTCGCAATGAAATGGATTCTGTTATCATTAGTCGAATAGTGAAAGGAGGTGCTGCAGAGAAGAGTGGGCTGTTGCATGAAGGGGATGAAGTTCTGGAGATTAATGGCATTGAAATTCGTGGAAAAGATGTTAATGAAGTTTTTGACTTATTGGTGAGTTGGACACTTCTTTTTTTCCCTGCAAAAAATACTTAAGACTGGAGCCTGTTGGCTCTGCTTGTCTCTTGTACTCATATTTGGCATTATTTTAAAAGTATTTTCATTCTGATAGCTAGTGGTTAAATGTGGAGAGCCTTTTCAAGTTTTATTTCTGATGCATAGTGTGGTATTAATAACTGTAATGGCAGTTATCTGCAAAAATGAAGCCTACAGATGTGGAAGAGTCAAGCCATCATCCAGAGACTTGCTTTTAATGATTTCTAAGAAAAACTTTGCTTAGCTCTGAAAACCCATGATTTTTCGTCTTTGTCTCTGGTTGAGTCCACGATTAATAAAATGTTTTGCTGTGTGATTGTGGTAATGCCTGGCTGGGGTGAGGCAATTTTCTTTCTAGCAGGTTATATGGACTGTGTTTTAGGCTGTTTTTAGACTGAAACAGTGATTTAAATGTTGCTGAACAGTGCTTGCACAGTGTCCAGGCCTCTGTCACTCTGTTGTCCCCTTGCAAGTAGGCTGGGAGTGAGCACGAGGTTGGGAGGGGGCAAAGTCAAGACAGCTGACCTGGATTGACAATATAGATGTATAACATGCTCTGTATGTTTTTCTTGCTTTGGTCTTCCAGTTCTCTCTCCTCCATCCTGCTAGGGAAGGGGAGCAAGTGAGGAGCTGGGGAGTGCTTATTTGCTGGCCAGGCCTAACCCACCACAAACAGTATCATAGGGGACTTTAATGTGCCTAGGCTTCTTGCCCTTTCCCTCCTGATAAAACCCCTTTTTTTTAGCAGTTTACTAGCACGAACATTTTTCTGTTAATTACACTTTTACCATTCATGACAAAATTATACATCAAGTCAGAAGCAGCTAGTCAAAACAAAAGGCAAGAAATCCATCAGGAACTGCTAAATGCAGGGGTACCCTCTCTTAAAGTCCCTGTGAGGTAGAATGCCAAAATCTGGAAATTACTTGAATTTTCCATTGTCTTATATTCCTCTTTTTCTGTTGATTTTCCACTGCATTTGCTGTTGATCCATGTCCAAGATGGGACACCTGATCTATTTTTTAATTGAATTAATAACTTTGGTACAAAACATCAGAGATATCCACTAATTCAATGGAGTCTTCAGAAAAAAACATAAATATATTTACTAAAATATTTTTTAATTGCTTAGTAGATCCATCCTATATATATTACTCAAAATCAGAACAAAGAACTGGGTCCCACTGTAGGTTGCATCCTTGCAGGAGGAATAGGCTGCAATAGCCACAGATGAAGTTCCTTCATGCTACAGTAAGACTGTCATTTTTAATGGATAATTTCCACAATCAGTTGGATTTTTTTCTGAAATTTCCTCCTAAAATTTTTCAACTTATACATGGAAATGAGGTCAGGTTGAGGGAAATAGAAGCAGAAATGGGTCAGCTTTGATTTTGGGGTTTTTTTGAAAGCCATCAAGAAAGATTCCTAAAGTTATTTGAAAAGCCTCCATCTCCATGTGCTTTTTTTGCTCAGAGATATCTGAGATTCTTCACGCTCTGTAGTTGTCTCCATTGCCTTCTGTATTTTTTTTTTAAGCCATTATTTAGTTAAGTCCTATGCTTCTGGAAAATCTTTTTGAAAATGCTTGACAGATAGTTTAACCCTGGCAGTGTAGCTCTCTGCAGAGAGCTTGTTCTGCTTTTGAGCAACTCTTGCAACCTAGAGTTAGAGAATAAAAGATTTAAAACCACAGTACTTTAACATAAGAGGAAATTACTTGCTGAAAATAGAAAAAGTAAAACAAAATACGCACTTAGATGGTTTTTAAAATGTTTTTCATTAAAATATTAATTTTTTTAATTATTTGGGGGTTTTCTGTGTTTTGTAATTTGGAAGTGAAGTTTTAGAAGACTTCAGTTCCCAGAGAATACTTAAAACAAGCACAGGAAAAGGAAATTACTTCTAAATTTTGCCCCACCACTTGCTACTCAAATGATAATGAACTGCACGTGACCTCAGACTATGCGCACAGTGGTTGTGGAATTCTCTGCATTCTTTGTGGAACCATGCATGCTGACTGAAAATCATGGCTTTTCCTTTCCAGCAACCTAATCATGTTATGCTCAGTTATATTTACTTTATTTAAACCTTGGGTCCAAATCTTTTGAGAGACAAGAGTACACTGGGTTTATGCAACATAAATTGTGTTAACAGTTAGTGGAATGTAGGGAGATACATGTAGACCTTGTTGCTAGTGGGCACTTGAATTTTATTTATTTATTTGCATTTTATGCAAACACGCTGCATGCAAGACTGTGTGAACAAATAAGAATTCTTTGATGCTAGAACAAAATCATGTTCTACTTTATTAGCAGGCGTGGTTACCATATGAATATTAAGTACTTTGCAGATGCAGGATTTCAGCATGTTAGTTACATTTTTAAAACAGTGTTTTGCATACCTTCATAATTTTAACAGCATAAAATCTTACTAGAAATGTTTAGATTTCCAAACACTGTCCCAATCAAACCATTTTAGAAAAAGAATAATCTTTTATGTAAGTTTTCCTCCCAGCAATGATCATCTTGTTGGTATTTTTTAACTCAACTCAATTTCTCCCAAGTCTTTGCTTTCCAGAATTAAGACACTCCTTTTCAAATAGAAATATTTCGTGTGTAATCAAGAATCGTAGGCTTTTAAAATCTAAATATCAGCATTTGAGCATGTCACTGAATCACTGCATCTGTACAATATCTTTTAAAACAGTTAAGTGGTAGATTATGTGGGTTTTGAAACTGCCTTTGCTGGGAACTTTTGAAGCATTTTCCAAAATATATTTATTAAAATTTTTAACCTCAAGCCATATTGTGATACTGTATATGAAGAGTCTGTTTTTTGTCACAGGCTGACATGCACGGAACTCTGACCTTTGTATTGATTCCCAGTCAGCAGAGCAAGCCACCTCCTGCAAAGGAAACAGTTGTAAGTAGCTCTACAGAAGGTCTTGAGCCTGGTAATACATACCTTATTTTTCCAGTAATGTGTAGAAAGTTATTTTATACATTGTGGAAGAAAACCAGAACTGAATCGTTTAAATTGTTACCAGACTGACACCTGTATTGACTATTAAAAATGATTGATGGTGTTAAACTGAAACTTTTAGTATGATTTTCACACCGTTTCTGAAATCATAAGAAATTATAAAAGTATAACTGCCTGTGCTTCTGAAATTCTATTTTGAAATTACCAATGTATCTATTTTATGTATTGATATATATATAAATGAATTGATAAATCTTGCAAATATGCTTTGGGATGAAAAGTTTGTATATTAGAAACTTAGTTCATTACCTTGTTAGTTAACATTCTTCTATTTTTGTGACAGCTTTAACAGTTTGAAGAAAGAATGCACACGTTTGTATCACAGCCAAACCAAAACATTAATGACTGGTGACAAAGCAGAATATTTTAAAGTGAAAATTCACCTGAAATTTCAGCAAATGGCTTTCAGTCTGTGAATTTATTAGATATTTTAAACAAATCATAGTATCTCTGATACTTGCTGAATGCAAAGAACTTTGATCAACAACTCTGGGGTTTTTGCCTCCTAAACTGGTGAGGAAATTGCACAGACTTCAGAATTAACACGAGCTAAATTTAGGCCTTCATTTCCAAGCTAGCTCAACTATTTCTTTTTCATTGCGAAGCTAGATAATTATTCTATTCCTGTATCTCCTGTATGTCCCATAAAAATTTGCCATTTTATAGAATCTTGGTGTTTTTATGTATCAGAGCTCCACTGCAGTCACAGGAAGATGGGGTGTAATTCTTTGGAAGTCACTTTTATCCTTCTGGTTTTACATTTGATCTTCCACAGATACATGTGAAAGCACATTTTGACTATGATCCCTCTGATGACCCTTACGTCCCCTGCCGAGAGTTAGGCCTGTCTTTTCAAAAAGGAGACATACTCCATGTGATCAGCCAAGAAGATCCAAACTGGTGGCAGGCTTACAGAGATGGAGATGAGGATAATCAACCATTGGCAGGCCTTATCCCTGGTAAATAAAGCCCTAGAAAACGCTATAAAGCCAGTTGTTCCCATAGCCATAGGGGCAATATTCTGGTTTTCAAAGGCTCACATACCCTTAAATATCCATTGCCTTAAATATCTGTAACTCTGAACCTTTTGCAACAGACCTCGTTATGTAATTCACTTACTGTAAAGGCTGACTTTTTAGAGGCATCTCCATGTGTGGATGTTAAGTGCAGAGTAAAGCTACCCCCTTCCACTGCAGTTCACCTTTCAAGAGCGGATTTCCTCTTCTTTTACTCCTCCACCTTGGGAACACGGAGTTCAGAGTTCCCTCTGCTGGCTACGGCAGAAATATGGGCCTTGAGCCTGCTTGTTCTCCAGAGATGAGAACAGCTGTTAGGTTTCCTTACTGTGTCAAGTGGTATATTTCAAAAATTTATCTTTTCTTAGTAACTTTTCTTCATGTTTTCACTTAGCAAAGAGCCTCAGTTACTTTTAAGTCATGCTTCATTTGTAACTGTTGGGGCCTTTGAGTAATAGTGTTTTCATGCATTGAAGTCAGATATAATTTTTGCATTGAGATGTGTTGTATGCTCTAGTCCATTAAAGATCTGCTGATCTCTTAAACACAATGAACAAAAACCACAAAATTCCATAAAATTTGTCTGATTGCACTGTTACTTTGACATTTGAGAGAGGGGAACACTGATTTAAATGTAGGCAAATCTTTTTCGAAGTTAAAAAACTTTAGTATAAATAAAATGCATTTAACATACAAAAATAATTAGAAAACAGTGTAATAGTAGGGAAATGTAGTATTTCCAGTAGTTTCAATTTCCAGGCAAAACTGCTCAGAATAGCTTTGCAAGTCTTTCCTGATGAATATATTTTTTGAGCAATAAACAAGCTTCTCATAAATTTTCATTTCTCTTTTAAACTTTCTTATATATCGTACTCTACCATAATCTCAAGAGATTTAAAACTGTAGGAAAATGTAAAATAAGTGAGTCATTACAAAAAAGATATGGAAATGGTTTTAAGTGTTAACTGCTTTTGTACTTTTTTTTTTTGTTAATTCATTAAGGAAAAAGTTTTCAGCAGCAAAGAGAAGCTATGAAGCAAACCATTGAAGAAGACAAGGAGCCAGAAAAATCAGGTTGGATATGTGCTTTCCAAGTAAAATCTAAGTCTTTTAGAGGTGCTAATTAGTGATATCTGGAACTTGGTAATTGTAGAGTTGCAGAAAATTCCTTTTTTTAAAAATACAAGTGGGATGTTTCTTTGAAATTCTTGATATAAATACTGATCAGAATTTAGTGCTATGTTGTATAAAATCACTTGGCACTTTTCATAACTTATGTGCAATGTAATTAGGATGAAGGAGGGGAATTTGGAAAGCCCCTTTTTTCTAAATGAATTTTATCTCCATTGACTCAGTTGAAGCCCTTGGCATGCAAAATATGCTTAAAAGACCAAATGGCTTTAATGAACTGAATAATATTATGCCTTTTCAAAATTGCAGAAGACATTGCCCACTTTAAAGATCCAGGTAGTAAGTGGCATAGGGAATATTTTTACTGTGTGGATATTTGATTTTGACCATGTTTATTTTGGTTAGGAAAACTCTGGTGCGCGAAGAAAAACAAAAAGAAACGGAAAAAGGTCTTATACAATGCAAATAAAAATGATGGTAAGCAACATCTTTTCCATAGTGTGTGCACGTACAAGCAACTGTAAAGGATTCTACAAATAGGCTTGTGAAAAGAATTATGAAGTCGTGGAGGATATGATGTTACAAATACTGCCTGATGATGTTCTGTGTGGGAGCAGTGTATAGTTTGTAACAGCATTTAGTGAAAGATGTAGAAGAGGTGGCAGGATTTGTAGTGTCATTAAAGATCAGATGATAGGGCTGAAAAAAGAAAGAGCTTTTTAGGCATGGAAGCACTCATAATTTCACAATGATGAACTGGTTTATTATGGTTTTGTGGTAATATTTCACTCTGCATAATGAAGTTGAGTAAATGGAAACTTTCTCCACAGAAAGTTTAGTAGGCTGTTCACACGATATCCTTACAAAAGTACTTTGGGGTTGGGGTGTTGATTTTTGTTTTTGTTGGGCATAAAGTGTTGTTCTTGTACTAGAAACTTTCTCCTTGGCAAGAAAGTTGTTTCCTGAGTTTATGCTACTCCTTCTATCAGTAGTAAGTGGAAACACATTTGCTTTCTCCAGAAAGCGGGGGGGAAAAAAAACAGGTTTTTATCTTACTGGGCGAGTGATGATCTTTAGGGTTCTGTTGCCTCAATGACTCACAGGTGGGTGCTGGGCAGAGAGTCAGGAGCTGCCTGAAACTCGATACTGCATGACATGGGATGCCTAGAACTAGCAGTAAAGTATGTTATGACTGGTTTGTTACTTCTCTCTCAAGATTATGATAACGAGGAAATTTTGACCTACGAGGAAATGTCGCTGTATCATCAACCAGCAAATAGGAAACGGCCTATTGTTCTGATGGGGCCACAGAACTGCGGGCAGAACGAGTTGCGGCAGCGACTGATGAATAACGAAGCAGATCGCTTTGCCTCTGCGGTTCCCCGTAAGTCTGGCAGGCAGGGATGGCTGCTTATTCCAAACATTCTCTGCAGACAAATCCTCCTGTGTTTGAAAATGGCAATTAGGAGCTTGGGGCTTTTGAGCAGGATATAGTCAGCTCTTGGATAAAGGACAAAGAAAGTTACAGGTTCTGTGGTAAAAAGTAGGTAAGTCAATGCAAACCAAGTGTCCCAACAAACACAGTGTTACAGAGGCATTATAAGACATGCATGTATTTCAGTTTGAATAAAATTGGAGTGAGTTACAGAAATTCCACAAAGAAGCTGCTACATTGGTGAAAGAATTTTGCACCTAGATATCCTGCATAAATTTCAATGTAGGTGGCTTTAGTGCCTTCCTAAACCACTTATATTTCAGTGACTTTTGTTTTTAATGTCTAATGTATCCTGAATTAGGTTTACAAAACACTTAACAATATACCTTTTTTATAAACCACTAGTATCTGTTTTAATATCCAGAATGCAGCTGCAGAGTGAAACTATACCTTTCCTTGGTGACTGTTCTTTTTCCTCTATATAATTAAACAAGACCTCTCAACATAGGTTCAGCCTTTCGCAACTTAATCTGTCCAGGAATATTTATTGTAGAAAATAAAATACTTGCATTTCTTGGATAATTCAAATGCCTGGTTTTTGCTTGGTTAGTAATGCCTGTCCTAAGAGAAGTACTTATTTCTCTTCAGTTCTATGGGTGTCTCACAGTCTTGATGTCTTTTTTGTTGCTTTTGTTTGTAGATACTACTCGGAGCAGAAGAGAGACCGAAGTAGCTGGCAGGGATTACCATTTCATTTCCCGACAGGCATTTGAGACTGACATAGCTGCAGGGAAGTTCATTGAATATGGAGAGTTTGAAAAGAACCTCTATGGTACTAGCACAGACTCCGTGCGGCAAGTAATCAACTCTGGCAAGATATGCCTTTTAAATCTTCATACCCAGGTATGTGTACCCATATCGGATGTGTATTTTAATGTGGAAGCTACAGTGAAAATTGAAAGAGCTGTATTTATATAAAACAAGTGTGTTTTTAAGGTCCATTTTCACGTTTAATCCAAGTTTTCTTTCAGTAGTGTTCAGTTAACTTTTAGTGTGTTAGAAATACAGCCTCTTGTTCCTTGTTTGGAAATACACACATAGTTATCAGTGCTAGAGGTAATAGGAGCCTTGGTTTTTAGATACTTAAAGCTGCCGAGAACTATGTGAATTGAAAAATTGATGTAAGATTTGTGTTTCTGTCTTCCAATTACTCTGTGAGCTCTGAGGTTTTTAAAGATGGAGAGGAAGTTGTTTGTGATTATACTTGGAAACTGCATTTTGGGAATGCTTATACAGTTCCATAACAGACAGAATTAAAGTAGATTATATCACCAATATTTAAAAGCTCTTTAGCTATGACCTTTCGATTGAGAAGAAGAGACAAACTATTCATACAGAACTTGAAAACTTAGTTAAACATGGGAAGAAGCAGAGTCCTGGAACACAGCCCATTTCTAATACATGTAATATGCTGTTGTTACACGTGCTGCAAAAGAAGCCCTAAAATTCAGACACATCAGTGATGTTTGGTAGTATTGAAGCTATAATTAGTCATTACCAGTTGGGACCATGTGGTATTTTACTAGAATAGCTCATGGATATCACAAAACATGTAATAAGTTGAAAATTTGTAACACTTTGCAAACTGATCCAATTCTTTGGTTATAAAAATATATCTCAGTGACAAGTTGTTTGTCCTGAGACACAGAGAAAGAACTTCTTGGAAAAATTAAAATACAGTTAGGTTCTGTTTTTCTGTCTCTTCATGTAAATGTAATCTACCAAAAAATATGCATACTGTAGTAGTGGATCTGATACCTTGTATTTTAATCTTCACAACAGAAAAGGTTAAACTGCAGTATTTAAAGACTCTTCTCTGATAAAAGCTGATACCATTCCTTAGCACTGTAAGGAAACTTACTTTAATATAGGTGAGGTATCAACATTGGAGACCAAACGATAGGTTCCTTTAGTTTACTTACGAAGAATGTTCTTGATCAAAAGTAAATACTTGGGTTCTATGAAGCTGAAAAAGTTGCAGTATCAGTTTTGTAGGAAATGGTGATTGAACTTATGAGTGGTGATGATGATACTGTGATGGTTAATTATACTGATGTCAATATGTTGTACAATTGTAGTTGTGTTTCAGAGTATATTGTCAGTTATAGCATGTGAATGCATTATTAAATGCCCTTTCCATGTGTGGAACTGTTAGATGTTTATTAACTCCTATTTCTGCAGTCACTGAAGACACTACGTAATTCTGACTTGAAGCCATATATTATATTTGTTGCACCACCTTCACAGGAGAGATTACGTGCTTTATTGGCCAAAGAAGGGAAAAACCCAAAGGTAATATGTCTAACACTTCTGAAACCACATTGCTTTTTATTTACAGATCTGAAATGCTTTTGGTAAACAAATTAGTATACTCTGTGTGGAACTGGGACATGGTAATGGTACTGACAATATATGGGGAGGCAGTGCAGTTGAGATCTGTGTGCTCAAGGCTAGTAGGCAGGCCATGCTAAGGGAAGGGCTCAGGATGCTTTCGCCTAAGGGAATGTGAAAAAAGTATGAGGCAAGGAAATCCACTGTTAATTCAGTAATCCAGGGATACAGTGTCTCAGTTGTGGTTCCTGCATTTGAGTACAAAAGTACGACCCTTTATGTCAAAACTGGAAAGCCCAACTTTGTCATCATATCAACCTAGAGTAATTATAGGGAGCGAATAATTATTCGTTTTCTTTTGAGAACTTATCTGTCCTTAGAAAAGCATTTATTTAAAAATATATTCCAAAACTCTGCAGATAAAGTTGTTTTTATCTTGATCCTATGGGTTCACTTGCCATGCTTCAAGCAGAGTCATGTCAAGATCTCAGCTTATCCAGTTCAGATTGTTTAGTGAATGATAAGTTAGTTCTGGAGATGGAGTTGAAATCTATAGATTAAACCCGGGTGTGTGAAAGCTCAGAAAACGTCTTTATCAGCTGATGAGATACAAAATGCTTATTGCTAGGATAATGAAATAGGTTGATCTTCAGCTTTTTACCTGAAATCTACCCTAGAGTGGTTGGTGGGAACACTTTGCCACCACAGTATCTTTCAAGTATAAATGGAACGTAATGCAGTTCATACTGAGGAAGAACAGTGTTCCCAGCATAACTCAAATGGACTCCTCAGATGACTGTTGGTCATGGATTTGTACCTCACTGTGTTCTGCAAGGGTTTTGTTTTGCTCTCCTTGTTAGGTGCAAGGGTGATGTATTGCCTAGATTTAAGATCTAAAAGTCCACTAAAGTCCAGGTCTTAAAATCAATGGATTTTCTTTTTTTATTTGCCTGAGTCAAATATAGTCATAGTCTTTACATGGGCATGTTTTCTTCTCCATGGTTGTGCAATGAATGAAACTTTATTTTACATAAATATTGCGCGTTACGTATGTCCTGCTTTTTTTATTGCAGTAATCAAGTAATCCATTTGCTGTAGCAGTTAATACACTCTTATTGTTAAACCATGCCTGTTTTCTTTCTGATTAATTGTATTGGAGTTATATTTATTTCAGTTGGGTAAATGTTTCTTTGTTGAAGCCCTTTCTCTGATAAAGGGTTTTTTCTTGCATGTATGCAGCTTTGGTTTTCTTAAGTGTATATAATGCCCAGGAAAAAAAAAAACTTGGAAGGCCTGAAGTCCCTTTTGAAAATACCCTCTTTAGAAAATTATCTCTAAATTATACCTGAATATTCCTTTATATAATACAAAAATAATTTGCAGAAGAGAAGAACAAACCTCCTTTTGGAATCTAAGTGTAAAAAAATCCTAGTTAACCAAACCATTTCTGCTTCTTCTGGTGCATCATTTATCTACATCTGCAATGTTCTTTTGACATACTCCCTTCTAGCTCACAAATGATGTTTTCAATTTTCTGCAATGTAATTTACCTGATACTATGGTGATTTGATCACCTTAAGTGTATAGTTCTCACTGTGGTTCTCAGTGCTGTTTATTGCTGTTGCCTATGGCCATTTAATGGCTGTAGTGCTACATCTTCAGAGAAGTGTTACCTTGTTTTACACCATTCAAACTTACTCTCACACTGTCTCTTCCATCTCCAGGCACTTCCAGGACAGTGGGCTTAGCGACCTAACTTACTTTTCAGAAACATAATTTAAGAGCCTCAGTAAGATGAATGTCATAAAATGAGCAGTGCTAGATCTTCATTTACTTCAGCCTGGGACAGCTATTTACTGATCTGCCGCTTAAGGGCAATCAGAAGGGATTGCCTTGAGTGCCCTTAGCTTTCAAATATGTATCATGGTTCAATGCTGTTGTAAACTTCTCAATAGCTGGTAGCAATACCATGAAAATTGGTGTAAGAGACTTCTCTGAGTAGTTACCTTTCCCCACTCTGCTGTGGGGAGAGGCTTACACACATGCCTTAATTTTCTCTCTTTGATTGCAGCCAGAAGAGCTGAGGGAAATCATAGAGAAGACAAGGGAGATGGAACAGAACAATGGCCACTACTTTGATACAGCAATTGTGAATTCTGATCTTGATAAGGCATATCAAGAGTTACTTCGGTTAATAAACAAACTTGACACAGAACCCCAGTGGGTGCCCTCTACCTGGCTACGATGAGAGAGCAATTCAAATGGACTCCCATCTAGTAATCTTTCCAAGGAGACTGTGTAGGTCTGCCCAATTCTAAAATAAATGTGTGTGAGCTCTAGACCTCAGGGGCTGCATCTTTGCCAGTGCAATTGCATATTGTTGAAAAAACATGCTGTTCAGCTTGTGAGCTGATTAAACTGATAGAAAGATTGTCCAGGTTTTCTTTCTCTGTGGTCTAGAAATTGAGATCTTGACAGTACTAAATTCTAAAGCTTTAGATAGATATTTGTAGCAGCTACTTTTATACATAAATCCACTTTTTAACCTAGAATCATCCTTATGAAATTAAAGATTTTAAGTGTGTGTGTGTGTATATACAGTCCATGCTGTCACATAGTTATAAATATGTATGTTATTTAACACTTAACTTAATGACTTTGTGGGACATGATGGTAGTTCAGGAGCATAATCCTACAGATCACTGGGCAGAAATGATCTACATGTGAAAAAAAGTTAATAGTGATGAGAAATTTTTCCTTTTCAAAAAATACACAAGAATGAAGATGCCGCTCTGGTCTGGCTTGAGCTAATACTTTAATTCTCAAACATTCCACTTTCTAATAGCACTGTAATTGGAAAATGTGTATAATGTAAATATTTCAATCCTTGTGTTTTTTAGTCAAACTTTTTAAGTCAGATTTGACTGCACATTAATTTTAGGTCCAATCAAAGATGAATATTATATTGATCTTTTAGATGGGATATTTTTATGGAATTTTCTTTAAAACATATTGATGCATTGGAGCCACTGTTTTCTGCAGATCTGTAGAGATATTTAGAAAGGCAGAGGTCATATTTTTGTGAAAATATATAGTTATAAGACATGCTGCTTGAAAGTCAGCTCAAGTTCTCATGTTTTATAACAGAATACTGACTAAAAAAAATAGTGCTGAACATTGGAAGATAGCAGGGTTTTTAATCTCTGCAAATGGTTCATCTTATGGCTGTTGGTCTAATGGATAACTAACTGGAATTAAAATGTAGCTACTGTGTTATGACTATTGTGATTCAATAGACAACATATTGTCCTGCATTTGCTCAGTGCTGCAGTGAAAGTATGTGTAAAACACTGGTAACTGACTGAGAAGTCACAAGAAATGGGAATATTTTTAATGGTTAAAACAAACTTAAAACTTGAAACAAGTGAACAAAAGACAAGGTCTGTATCCTAGCATGTTCTGCAAAGCAGATGGGAACATCTCTGCCCTCAAATGATTCTGACCTGTGAAGGCTTAACTACCTAGGCTGTGCATCTGCAGTTAGGGCTGGGGCTGTTCTGTCACTGATGCTAACTGAACAGTAGTACCTTGGCTGTTTTTATTTTTGGTAGCACAAAGCTTGACTGTGAATATCTCTTCATTTTAGCCATAGTATTTCTTTGTTCCTAGAAGTAAAACACTGGAGTTACGTCAATGTGTAGTTCACTCCTGTCTAATGTTGAAGGATGAAAAAGTAGTTGGTTTTTTTTCCAATTCTGTCTTGCGTATATTCTTTCTTCAAATGCTAATGGAACAAATGAACACCCATAAATAAGAAAGCTGAAAGTATAAAACAGATATAAAGAAACTGTCAGATATTTATCATAGTTACTGAACTAACATTCAGTACATTTTTGTATTGAAAAATGGAAGTATAGAGTGCATTCCTGTCTTGCTAGAAAGTAAAACGATTTGCTGGTTTAATTAGTATTTAGGGCTGAAAATCAATTAAGCAATTAGTGGGGATAAGTAATAAGCCTTCAGAAAGAAAAGGGGCTGGCTCAAGTCAGTGTTGAAAGTAATAATGTGCTAGCTGTTGTCCTAAGGACTGAATATTAAAAATAATGGCTTTTTGCCTCACATTGCAGGCATGTTCTCAGTTTAATTCATAGTTCCTAACAACTACAATGTTCAGGTATATTGGATAGTCAGTGTTTCATAGACAACAAAACATTGTATCAATTCTACCCTTTTTAAAGAAAGATGATTTTACATGTATTAGATTTTTGATAGTGACTGTTCCATAGTTAGACAAGGAAGAAAGCAGTAAAATGTGTTCAAGGGTAAGCTAGCTCTGCTACATAGGTACTGTCCAAGTTCTTGCAGTCACAATCAGCTGAAGATGGTTGCTGAACCCCCTTAGGTATTCAGTGTTGATAGGCAGTGTCAGTCACAGTAAATCATGAAATTAATGTATTTGGCTAATGGTGTACAGAAGCTGTTTTTATACACAAGCTTTTGAATGTAGACTTTTAAGAATGTTGCTTGAAGTTCAGCTTGGGTCTCTTTAATTCCCAAGGCCCACAGTACTCGCTGACATCCATGCACAGAGGTGCTATGATAGTTTATCACCAGTGTTAGCTTTGTCTTGTGCTGAAGGGCAAGACTTGAGCAGCCCTGAGAAACGTACCTGCCTGTCCATTGGCTGCCAGCTTGGACCTGGAACTCACCTGTCTAAGAAATTATTCTGCCTTTAATAAAGAATGTGTGTTAATTGCCTTGAGAGTGAAGGAGAATATAAAAACTTCACTGGTGAAAGTCTTCAATCTTATCAGAGGCTTTGTAGTGAGCTTTATCAAACCCAAGTGAGGGCATCTGCATTTTTACCAGTCCAAATTTAATTAAAAATATTAGTTGAAATCCATCAAAGTTTTTGAATGTAATTATATGTGACCTTTTTAAAATGAGATGGGCAGTTTAATGCCTTAAGGTAAGACCTGTGGTTAGCCCCATATAGTACTTTTATACATGTATCTGCACTCTGTATTTTGAGACATCATGAACTGCACACTAATGTAAAAATGTAAAATATTTCTAGATTTAAAATAAATCACTGTACAATTTTACTTCTTGTAGTGGATCTTGTTAGTTGTCTTTCTGCTCTTTTGTTGAATGTGTGAAAGTTGCTTTGACCCATCAGTGCCCTAGAGGATGTTCTCTGTTCCACCTGACAACACACATTCAGTGGGAGAGGTAAGATTTCCTCAGATCTACAGTTTGTCTCTTGCAAGCTGGACCTGCATCTTAAAACAGAGTATGGACTTTTCAGTTGTGCAGCCTTCAGCTTCAAAAGAAGAAAGAAATGGCCTTACACTTCATACAATTATAAAATTACTTTTTAAAGGTGTTAATAGAAATTAATTTTTTTGCACTTACCCTGCAGGAGCAGTTAAGTGCTGGATCATGTTTAAAACAAGATTCTTACCTTGAAGAGACAATTAGTGCTAGACACAATGTACTGGTATGGCTGCTATGGCATGTGTTCAGTTTGCTGATTGAAAACCAGTGTCTTTTTAGGAAAACAGCTCTTCAAACTGAGCAGCATTCAGTGGCAGCCTGCTTATCAGCCACTCCCCTAGGCTCCTCTGATCAGCCCAGGACATGAAGAATCACAGCAAGGATGAACTACACTCTACCCTGAATCCTGCCTTGCTTGCCAACATGCTGGTTGCAATGTAGATTTGGGACATGTGGCTGCATAGTTGAGAAGAGTTTCTATATTTGTGCCAGGAGGGAGCCACTTTTCCTTGGTTACTTGTCTAAAGTAATAAAGGTTAAGTGAATGTGGGCCCAGGCTGAAAAGAGATGTGCCTAAGTCAGATTCTCAGCTGGGGGTTGGTGACGAAGCAAAGGTTTTGGTTTTAAATCAACATGACCACCATCTTCTAGCAACTTGAGGCATATGTGAGATATTTAACATTTTATTTTTTTGACTTGTTTCTATCACAGACAGTACACAACTTGGCAGAACCTATAATTAAAACCGTAGATGTTTTAGGCCAATGGTAACAATCGTGCAACAAAAATCACATAGGACTGTGGATTTCATCAACAGGTTAGAAAACTAGAGTTGCCTTTACTGACATTTGACTTCAGCTGTGCCAGTATCTGCTTTAAGCAACTTCAACATTAATAGTTCAGCAGTAAAGAACATTACATGCATCTCCCTCCCTAAATAACATGTTCCTCTGCTTGGATGAGGAAGGGGAGCAATTAAAAGAGTAATCTGATTAGGCAAATTTAGAGGCATCCTGCAAAAACCGCAGCTATGGACAGTCATTCCTACTAAGTCAAGAAACTGGCTGAGCAACAAGAAAGCTTTCCTGACAGTAAAGCACCTGGCTCATCTCTTGTTTTCCTCCTGTGCTGCAGTCAGGTTCCCAGATTTCTAATCTCCCAAGAGAAATCCACAATCCATTCAACTCAAGACTTAAACACCAACTGAGAAGCCACGTAAGTATCAGTGAGGCAACACATCTTGAATTAGATTGCAACTGAACAGACATTCTGTATCCTGGGTCCCCTGCTCCATATACAACTGTGCTGCATTACTCAAAGAGAAGGTCTTCATCCTTCTCTTCTGCTAAGAGATTGGCTGGTTCCTGTTCCCCACCAGCAGCCCTCCGCAGCTCCCGTTCTTTCTCTGATTTTTCTTTCAATACCTTTTTCTTTTCTTGGATCTTCTTTAACCTGTGAAGAGAGATGTGGCTGACCTGTGAAACATACATTTTCATAAGACAGGCTAGCGCAGCAAAGCTGCCTGAAGATGTTCCCCAGGAAACAAAAATCCTGTAGCAAATGTCAAAAGGCTTTTATTGTGAGCTGCTGCCATTGAAGAACTTGCATCTCTGCTGATGAACTCATTTCTTCATCCAAACTAAAAATTATATTCCTCACCTTTAACACTGCATTATACTACTCCACTTGTCTTTAAGTTAATTCTCCATTAATTAATTTGAGGTTTGACATTTTTGCTTCAGGTAGCCCAGAACACTGACCTCTGAGGCAGAGGTGTCCTGAAAGCAGACCACCTCAGTGTACTGCATCCTATCATTCCCTCCAGAAGAATGATCACAGCTATGTACACCCTAGTGGAGGGATTAATTTCTAACTTCTGGATGTGTCACTGCAGAACTCTAAGTGCCTAGCTCTAGAAACTCAATGTGCAGTAAAAACCAGGTCATGTTTAGCAGCATTTGCTGCCAAATTTGGTGCATAGTTCCTTTAAGTCCCTTCTGAGGAATGGTCTGTTCAACAAAAAGAGACCAGCCTAGTCTTGCTTTTGATATTTACCTGTAGAATTCCTCTCGTTCTCGTTCATCCAGTTCTGTGATGATGTAAGAGAGGGTGCGCTCAATCCTGGGAATAATCACTAAAAAAATATAAATAAGGAAGTTGTTGGGACTGCTGTTATACTAGCCAGGAATTTATCTAATGCAGTATACAGATAATTGTTTAAAGTCAATCTAGTAATTCTTTTGGCTAGGAGAAATTTACATGTCTTTCATGAGCGATCCTACTATTTCATTATGAACAAGTACACAAAGTTGTTTTCTTTAGTAAGTCCAGGACTAAGCTAGGATGCTGAACACCACAGACACTCCCATAGCACATTCTTTTGGAAGAT